GCTGCCCGGGGGGGGGCAACGCTTGCAGTTGCTGGAGAGTCTATTGATGCTGGCTGCCGGGGGGAATCTATAGTAGCTGCTGGAGAGTCTATTGATGCTGGCTCCCGGGGGGATCTCTTGTAGCTGCTGGAGAGTCTATTGATGCTGGCTGCCAGGGGGGGGGGGGAGCAGCAGCAACGCTTGCAGTTGCTGGAGAGTCTATTGATGCTGGCTGCCGGGGGGATCTCTTGTAGCTGCTGGAGAGTCTATTGATGCTGGCTGCCGGGGGGGATCTCTTGTAGCTGCTGGAGAGTCTATTGATACTGGCTGCCGGGGGGTATCTCTTGTAGCTGCTGGAGAGTCTATTGATACTGGCTGCCGGGGGGTATCTCTTGTAGCTGCTGGAGAGTCTATTGATGCTGGCTGCCAGGGGGATCTCTTGTAGCTGCTGGAGAGTCTATTGATACTGGCTGCCGGGGGGTTCTCTTGTAGCTGCTGGAGAGTCTATTGATGCTGGCTGCCGGGGGGGATCTCTTGTAGCTGCTGGAGAGTCTATTGATACTGGCTGCCGGGGGGGATCTCTTGTAGCTGCTGGAGAGTCTATTGATGCTGGCTGTGGGAAGATCTTTTGTAGCTTCTTCAGAGTCTATTGATGCCGGCTGTGAGAAGATCTGGAGGCTAGAAGATGAAGAGAAGCTGAGAGAGAGGGCTGCATTGCTCTGAAGTCCACCGGGGAAGGACAGCCTGCAAAGAACCAGCTCCATTAAAATGCTTGAAAGCAGTTCTATCCACAGCTGCAGGACAAGGACAGTGTGGGTTCCTCTACACCCCTAGAGCCTAGAAGGGAGAGGTCTGCTGGATGCAGGTTCTTGGCAAGTCTCCAGGGGACAGTTCATAGCTTACCTAATTCCTTGTCCTGGGATCAGATACCATAGCCAGGTAGGCTGGAATTCTGTACACCAAGGGGACCAAGATCTCCTACACGTCACATTGCTAAAAATTCACTCAGGGGACACCGAGCTGTGATGGTCCTGGCTGGGACTAGTCAAGTCAAGTGTTTGTAGAGCAGGAAACCTGTTTATTCTGCTGTTTTTGTAATCAAATTTGGCATCCCATAGCTTCTTTACCCTATCCAAGTTGTTAACCCCTAATAAAACAAAAAAAAACCCAAATACCCTGGGACTGTTTCTTGAGTCTGGAAAATGCGTGTTGCCTGGCTGTGCAGGAAATTAGGGGGACCCAAAGCCAGCGTCTCTGAAGAGGGTAGCTCTACACAATGATGGGGCACTATTCCTTCCACTGATTCCAATGATCCGGCACTATTTCTTCTCATAGCACCAATGATGGGGCACTATTCCTTCCCATAACACCAATGATGGGGCACTATTCCTTCCCATAACACCAATGATGGGGCACTATTCCTCCCACTGACACCAATGATGGGGTACTATTCCTCCCACTGACACCAATGATGGGGTACTATTCCTTCCAATAACACCAATGATGGGGCACTATTCCTCCCACTGATACCAATGATGGGGCACTATTCCTCCCACTGACACCAATGATGGGGCACTATTCCTCGCACTGATACCAATGATGGGGCACTATTCCTTCCACTGATACCAATGATGGGGCACTATTCCTCCCACTGATACCAATGATGGGGCACTATTCCTTCCACTGATACCAATGATGGGGCACTATTCCTCCCACTGACACCAATGATGGGGCATTATTCCTCCCACTGATACCAATGATGGGGCACTATTCCTCCCACTGACACCAATGATGGGGCATTATTCCTCCACTGATATCAATGATGGGGCACTATTCCTTCCAATAACACCAATGATGGGGCACTATTCCTTCCAATAACACCAATGATGGGGCACTATTCCTCCCACTGATATCAATGATGGGGCACTATTCCTTCCAATAACACTAATGATGGGGCACTATTCCTTCCAATAACACCAATGATGGGGCACTATTCCTCCCACTGACACCAATGATGGGCACTATTCCTCCCACTGATACCAATGATGGGGCACTATTCCTCCCACTGATACCAATGATGGGGCACTATTCCTTCCACTGACACCAATGATGGGGCACTATTCCTTCCACTGATACCAATGATAGGGGCACTATTCCTTCCAATAACACCAATGATGGGGCACTATTCCTCCCACTGACACCAATGATGGGACACTATTCCCCCCACTGACACCAATGATGGGGCACTATTCCTCCCACTGATACCAATAATGGGGCACTATTCCTCCCACTGATACCAATAATGGGGCACTATTCCTTCCAATAACACCAATGATGGGGCACTATTCCTCCCACTGATACCAATGATGGGACACTATTCCTCCCACTGATACCAATAATGGGGCACTATTCCTTCCAATAACACCAATGATCGGGCACTATGCCTTCTCATAGCACCAATGATAGGGTACTCTTCCTTCCAATAACACCAATGATGGGGTACTCTTCCTTCCAATAACACCAATGATGGGGCACTATTCCTTCCACTGACACCAATGATGGGGCACTATTCCTCCCACTGATACCAATGATGGGGCACTATTCCTCCCACTGACACCAATGATGGGGTACTCTTCCTTCCAATAACACCAATGATGGGGCACTATTCCTTCCACTGACACCAATGATGGGGCACTATTCCTCCGACTGATACCAATGATGGGACACTATTCCTCCCACTGACACTAATGATGGGGCACTATTCCTCCCACTGACACCAATGATGGGGCACTATTCCTCCCACTGATACCAATGATGGGGCACTATTCCTCCCACTGATACCAATGATGGGGCACTATGCCTTCCAATAACACCAATGATGGGGTACTCTTCCTTCCAATAACACCAATGATGGGGTACTCTTCCTTCCAATAACACCAATGATGGGGCACTATTCCTCCCACTGATATTAACAACGGAACAGTATTTCTCCCAAAGACATCAATGATGGGAGAGATGGGGCACTATTCCTCCCACTAATGACCATAAGCACTATGTAACTGTCCTACTCCCACTGATTTTGGGGCATTTTCTACTCCACTGGCACTTTGTTTAGAAAGTGTGGAAGCCTGTGATGCAAACTATGCCTGTTCTCTTCTACAGGAACAATGTATTGGCTACATGACCCTTAGGTCATCCTTGAATTAACTCAACACAACATGACCCTGCAGACCTACCCAAGGACGTGTCCTCCTTGCTGCTCTGGGATGAGGGGCCTGATGATTTCATAGAGTGCTTTAAATTACCCAGCTACAGAAGACTACATCTGACTGAGGCGGCCCTCTTCCTGTGGCTGGGCAGCAGGTGCTTGCAAATGGCACTTGGCAGTCGCAGTGTGCAGCCAAACTGGAGCACAGCGACATTACAATTGGTGAGAGCAGCCCCCAGGCAGGAGGTGGACAGCACGGTGAAGGCAAGGTGTGCCGGAGGTAGGCACCCCAACAATTTGCCATGGCACGCTACACACACCCTGCCTCATTGGTGTCCTCTGGGTGGCTGAGGGTAAACCCCTTAGGAAAAAAAATTGTACATACCCCTGGGTATAAATAGGAGTTTTCATTGATTTAAAGCTCAATTCTAGATTGGGATATTTTTTCAGAGTTATTTTGGTCCAGGTTGTACCAATGTAAGCATGCTTGTGTCATACCTGTGGGATCCCTATGAAAGTGGATCTGCTGCTGATACAGGGATCGTTGTGGTATTCTGGATTCTGGAGTGGCTGCCGTGCTGCAAAGTAACCACATGGGGCGCTCGCTCAGCACAGGAACCATTCAGAGAATGCTTTGCATTTTCTCAATGAGTGAAAAGCATTCCCTGATTGGACGAGCTGGAGAGGTGCAACTGGAACTTGCTCTGCTCTTGCATGGTCTAGGATGCCGATTAGCATGGCGTCACGAAGACATGGAAATATCAGTTGGGTTTGCTACTGAATTTGCTCACTAGCTCAACTGTTCTCTCATTCAAAGTAATGAAAAAACTATTATATCCTTTTGTAAATTTTATTTCCTAAAAAATAACCTGTTACTTTTCCATTAGACCACAGTTCTTATTTACCAGCATACAGTTTATAAGCTCCAGAAAGAGTCCGAAGTTTTATTGTAAGGATCTCTTGCGTCATTATTTTGTCTTAAAACATCATGAATATCCGTCTATCGAAGTTAGGCTCCAAAGAGCTCAGTATTTTCAGATGGCGGTTCTGTACCTGGGTTTCCAGATGGTGTTTCTGGTCCTGGGTTTGCAGATAGTGGTTCTGGGTTTGCAAATGGTGGTTATGGATCTGTGTTTACAGAAGGACGTTCTTGGTTGACAGATGGTGGTTCTAAACCTGGGTTTGCAGAAGGTGGTTCTGGTCCTGGGTTTGCAGATAGTGGTTATGGACCTAGGTCTGCAGATAGTGGTTCTGGGTTTGCAGAAAGTGGTTCTGGATCTGAGTTTGCTGATGGTGGTTCTGGGTTTGCAGATAGTGGTTCTGGATCTGTATTTGCAGAAGGTCATCCTTGGTTGACAGATGGTGGTTCTAAACCTTGGTTTGCAGAAGGTGGTTTTGTCCTGGGTTTGCAGATAGTGGTTCTGGGTTTGCAGACAGTGGTTCTGGATCTGAGTTTGCTGATGGTGGTTTTGGGTTTGCAGATAGTGGTTCTGGATTTGGGTTTGCAGAAGGTCGTTCTTGGTTGACAGATGGTGGTTCTAAACCTGGGTTTGCAGAAGGTGGTTATGGTCCTGGGTTTGCAGATAGTGGTTTTGGGTTTGCAGATGGTGGTTATGGACCTAGGGTCTGCAGATAGTGGTTCTGGGTTTGCTGATGGTGGTTCTGGGTTTGCAGATAGTGGTTCTGGATCTGTGTTTGCAGAAGGTTGTCCTTGGTTGACAGATGGTGGTTCTAAACCTTGGTTTGCAGATAGTGGTTCTGGGCTTGCAGATGGTGGTTCTGGTCTGGGGTTGTAGCTGCAGCTGATTCCTTGTTACATACGGAAGGTGAGATCCGTGTCAGACATTTCCCGCTGGTAATATTTGTCAAATATCTCGTTTTGGGCTACGGTGAATTGGTTCTTCCAGTCACCAAGAATTCCTTGAGGGAGGAAAGAGATGTCATGTGAGGTATTATGGGGGACTGCAAATGCATACTTAGAAACATTATGGTGCTGGATCCTGGGCTACTCTTAAACCCGCCCACAGTCTAAAGTTTGCCCACCAATATTCTGGGTGGGTGTGCACAAATCACACCCACTTTGTTGGTGGCCCCACCCAGACCCCACCTCTAAATATGCAAGGAATGCCCATCACACTCACTGTGCTGGTTGGTTCCACCTAGATCCTTCTGTCAGGGCTCCCGGGTGTGACCAGAGGTGTGTGACTGACGCAGGGAAACGCAGACTTCAGATATGTTATAAACAATGTAATTTATTAACACTAACAATACAAACATAAACGCAGTGCAATACTAAAACATAACGCAGTGCAAACAAACCAAACCAACCACCCACAGATAACAGTACATACAATGCAAGCGTCGTCAGGCAGGCCGGGTCAATATCAATCGGGCAGGTAGGTACAGGGGGAGCAAGCGGAGAATGGTCGGGGTCACAAGCCAGGTTCAGCAGGTAGCGGGCAGCGTGGTACAGAGGGTCAGGCAGAGGAGAATGGTCAGACAAGCCAGGGATCAGGAGCAGGAGAATGGTCAGACAAGCCAGGGATCAGAGCAGGGTCAGCAGAGAATCAGACAGGAACAGGAACAGGGAACAGGGAACAGGAACAGGAAACAGGGCCCAGGAGAAACACAACACCAAGGCAGAGTCTGCAGGTCTGAATGTCCCTTAAATACACCAGTATAATTAGTTCCAGGTGTTTGACTGGCTGCAAGGTTGAGTCTCTGATTGCTGGGAGCACCCGCTGGCCAGCCCTGGTACTGCAGCTCATAAGGTAGGCGAGTCCCACTATTGCTGGCCAGTCCATTCCTGACAGTACCCCCCCCTCAAGGAGCGGCCTCAGGACGCTCCAAACAGTCCTAGCTGGGCAAAATGTTCCACCGCCCGGGTCTGGTAACTGGCGGGATATCAAAAACTGGCACACCGGGCAGGACTCCGGGCAGCGGCACACCGGGCAGAGGCACATCGGGCAGGACTCCGGGCAGAGGCACATCGGGCTGGACTCCGGGCAGAGGCACATCGGGCTGGACTCCGGGCAGAGGCACATCGGGCTGGACTCCGGGCAGAGGCACATCGGGCTGGACTCCGGGCAGAGGCACATCGGGCTGGTCTCCGGGCAGAGGCACATCGGGCTGGACTCCGGGCAGAGGCACATCGGGCTGGACTCCGGGCAGAGGCACATCGGATTACCAGGCGAAGCAGCAGGCACCGGGCCACCGGGCGGAGCAGCAGGCATCGGGCCACCGGCCGGAGCAGCAGGCAGCGGGCCACCGGCCGGAGCAGCAGGCAGCGGGCCACCGGGCGGAGCAGCAGGCAGCGGGCCACCGGGCGGAGCAGCAGGCACCGGGCCCCCAGGCGGGGCGACGGGCACTGGGCCCCCTGGCGGGGCGACAGGCATCGGGCCCCCAAGCGGAGCAGCGGGCGCCGGGCCCCCAGGAGGGGCGACAGGCATCGGGCCCCCAGGCGGGGCGACAGGCATCGGGCCCCCAGGCAGAGCGGCGGGTGCCGGACCCCCAGGCGGAGCGACAGGTCTCGGGCCCTCAGGCGGAGCGGCAGGCGCCGGACCCCCAGGCGGAGCGACAGGTCTCAGGCCCCCAGGCGGAGCGACAGGTCTCAGGCCCCCAGGCGGAGCGGCGGGCGCCGGACCCCCAGGCGGAGCGGCGGGCGCTGGACCCCCAGGCGGAGCGACAGGTCTCGGGCCCCCAGGCGGAGCGGCGGGCACCGAGACACCAGGCACGACAGTGGGCTCCGAGTCAACTGGCAAGACTGCGGGCACCGAGTCAACTGGCAAGACTGCGGGCACCGAGCCAACTGGCGGAACAGCGGGCTTCGAGTCGTCTGGCAAGACTGCGGGCACCGAGTCGTCTGGCAAGACTGCGGGCACCAAGTCGTCTGGCAAGACTGCGGGCACCGAGTCAACTGGCGGAACAGCGGGCATCGAGTCAACTGGCGGAACAGCGGGCTTCGAGTCGTCCGGCAAGACTGCGGGCACCGAGTCGTCTGGCAAGACTGCGGGCACCGAGTCGTCTGGCAAGACTACGGGCACCGAGTCGTCTGGCAAGACTGCGGGCACCGAGTCGTCTGGCGGAACAGCGGGCATCGAGTCGTCTGGTGGAACAGCGGGGACCGAGTCGTCTGGCAAGACTGCGGGCACCGAGTCGTCTGGCAAGACTGCGGGCATCGAGTCGTCTGGCGGAACAGCGGGCATCGAGTCAACTGGCGGAACAGCGGGCACCGAGTCGTCTGGCAAGACTGCGGGCACCGAATCACCAGGCACGACAGTGGACTCTGACTCAATTGGCACACAGCGGGCACCGGGTCATCAGGTACCGGATTGTCTGGCTCGACAGCGGGCATCGGGTCACCAGGTATGACAGCGGGCACTGGGTCACCAGGCATCAGGTCATTTGGCTTGCCAGCGGGCACCACGTCATCTGGCAAGGCAGTGGGCACCGGGTCACCAGGCATTGGATCGTCTGGCTCGACAGCGGGCATTGGGTCACCAGGTATGACAGCGGGCACTGGGTCACCAGGCATCAGGTCATTTAGCTCGCCAGCGGGCACCGCGTCATCTGGAAAGGCAGTGGGCACCGAGTCACCAGGCACGACAGCGGGCTCTGAGTCAACTGGCATGACAGCGGGCACGGGTCATCAGGTACCGGATTGTCTGGCTCGACAGCGGGCATCGGGTCACCAGGCCTAATAGGATCGTCAGGCTGGATCAGTTCATCATGCTGAGTAGAGGCATCCGGCTGAGTGGAGGCATCCGGCTGAGTGGAGGCTTCAGGCTGAGTGGAGGCTTCAGGCTGAGTGGAGGCATCCGGCTGAGTGGAGGCATCCGGCTGAGTGGAGGCATCCGGCTGAGTGGAGGGCATCCGGCTGAGTGGAGGGCATCCGGCTGAGTGGAGGCATCAGGCTGAGTGGAGGCATCAGGCTGAGTAGAGGCTTCAGGCTGAGTAGAGGCTTCAGGCTGAGTAGAGGCATCAGGCTGAAGAGAGGCATCAGGCTGAAGAGAGGCATCAGGCTGAAGAGAGGCATCAGGCTGACCCACGGAAGGCCGGTTCTCAGACGGGAGGCTGACCGGTTTGGATACTGGCAGGATGGTACTGGTTGGAAAGAATTTTCGCTTTTTTTTAACTACTGGAGCACTGCAAGTAAACGCAGGTCTGCAAATGAATGGAGCAGCTGGAGACAGAGAAGAGCTGGAGGATGGAACAGGGGAAGGAACAGTCGCTACAGAGGGCTTCTTTACAGGGTTAAAGGCAGGATAGGTGCAGCGAGTGGTAACAGGGTACTGACATGCGGTAGATAGCCAAGTATACTGGGCTGTAACTGGAGGAGCTGTTGGGAATACAGGAGTAGAGCTTTGAGGAAATAGATTAGAAGCAGGACTGGGTCTTTGTAAGCTGACTGAGGCTGGGTGCAACATGTCTGTCCATGTCTGCAGTATGGGTTGAACAAAGCTGAGCTTACACAAAGCCTGTCTGACCAAAGACTGCACTGCGTTTATACAATCTCTTAGTACCTGTGGTGAACATGTGGAATAACGCTCCAGAAAGTAACCCACATCATCCTCTAATAACCACACCAGGGACTCTACCTGGTCTGCACTAAATGGTGGCAAAAATTCATCCCTGCATTCGGGGGAACCAGATGAAACCAACTCAGCACAAACCTCAATCAATGGCTGCACCTCAGAGAACTCTGTGCCCTGATCTACTAGAACATGAGCGAGCCGTATACATTCTAGCAGTTCATCCCGGGGATACTCCTTCAGAGTTTGATAAGCATACTCCCTGTCATCAAACACTAGCAGATATAAATACGCAACCTCATCCAGATCCATCCTTCCCATCAACAAACCAAGATGGCTTCCCTGTGCAGCCACTTCTGGTCAGGATTGGCCTTGGTGTAATATCAGGGCTCCCGGGTGTGACCAGAGGTGTGTGACTGACGCAGGGAAACGCAGACTTCAGATATGTTATAAACAATGTAATTTATTAACACTAACAATACAAACATAAACGCAGTGCAATACTAAAACATAACGCAGTGCAAACAAACCAAACCAACCACCCACAGATAACAGTACATACAATGCAAGCGTCGTCAGGCAGGCCGGGTCAATATCAATCGGGCAGGTAGGTACAGGGGGAGCAAGCGGAGAATGGTCGGGGTCACAAGCCAGGTTCAGCAGGTAGCGGGCAGCGTGGTACAGAGGGTCAGGCAGAGGAGAATGGTCAGACAAGCCAGGGATCAGGAGCAGGAGAATGGTCAGACAAGCCAGGGATCAGAGCAGGGTCAGCAGAGAATCAGACAGGAACAGGGAACAGGAACAGGAAACAGGGCCCAGGAGAAAAACACAACACCAAGGCAGAGTCTGCAGGTCTGACTGTCCCTTAAATACACCTGTATAATTAGTTCCAGGTGTTTGACTGGCTGCAAGGTTGAGTCTCTGATTGCTGGGAGCACCCGCTGGCCAGCCCTGGTACTGCAGCTCATAAGGCAGGCGAGTCCCACTATTGCTGGCCAGTCCATTCCTGACACCTTCCCATTCATGTCTCCAAACCCCCAATTAATCCTTTTTTCAATTACTGCACAAGGTTGATGGTTTGATCCCGGGGCACAACATCGCTGGGACAGAGGACAGGGATGCAGGACTGTCCAAACAAATCCAGGACAGTTACCATCCCTGTACTCACATCATCCCTGTACCGGTTTTAATGCAAATGCAAACAACAATTGTTTTAAAAATTCTTCTAATGTTTTATATGTTTGTTGAAAGAGCATTTTGTTTCAGAGCATTCCACTCTTTGTAATGCACACACTAAATTTTGGATTTTTTTTGTTGATTTTGCCAATACTTGTACAAAAAATAAGTGGGGACATGAAAACCTATGAAATTAAAATTGCTAAGTCTTACCTTTCCTCATAAACAGGGATATTGAGTGATCAATGAATGGGAAGGTACTAAAATTGACCATGGGGTTGTCCTTCATAACCTGGAAGGTAGTGTTCTTTTGTATTTTTTCAACAATCTCTTCAGGAAGTTCCTGATTCATGAACGTCATCACCTTTCGGATCTCACGTTTTGGGTCCTAACCAAAGAGATTCGGGGAGAGTCAATAAGATTCAATTTCTTGTTTTAGGTGAGGAGTTCTCCACGTGACAGCAAGACAAAGTCAAGTTACCTCCAACATGTCCTCGTAGAACAAGTACAAGAACTTGTGTTTTTTCCTCATCTCCCACCAGCCCTTCACATGTTTGGCCCATGATCCAAAAGCAACTGCCGGACAAAGCAAAAACAACTAGTTTAAAAGAAAAGTAACAGAACATTTTAAAAGTTTCAGAAATGCCTAAGCATGTTCACCAGTTTGTCCATTCCACGATACAGAACATGGACATTTCACGGGAACTATCAATTTCTAAAAGCCCAGCTGCTGACTCACGTACCATTGCCCTCCATGAAGGTATTTATATATTCATCCCATGTCCCAGGCTCTGGGTGTGCATAGGCCATTCGTTGGTAGTGATAGTACGATACCGCTACATCCTTTGCATTCCTAGCCACGTAGATAATCTAGAAAAAGATGGGAATGGCTTTTACACTTCTGTTTCCAATGTAAGCAATGTCACATAGAAATGCAATTATTGCATTCTCAAGACCAGGGGTGGACTGACCATTTGGAAACTCGGGCACTGCCCGAGGGCCCGGGGTCAGTAGGGGGCCCCATGAGATGCCCCTGGTACCTTTTTCATAGGCTTTTTTGAGTTTGGGCAAGGACACAGGGGCCCCATAATCCCCTATTGCTCGGGGGGCCCCATGAGTTTTCAGTCCGCCCCTGCTCAAGACTAAGGAAGACAAATAACTTGGTAAAGCCTCACACTTGAGCCTTGCTTAGTATTACCCTTTAAATGCTAATTTGAATAGCTTTCTTGAAGGCTATAAACCACCCATTGGTACCAGTCTGGTAGCTGAATTCAGATCTTGCAATGGGGAAACCTATGATTACCATATTTTCAAAATTGGATCTGGAGACGCCCTGTTGACCATGCCCCCTTTTACTCACACCCACAGAACCACATCCTAATTTGTAGGCACATCCACAAAATCATGTCCCCATTTTAAACAAGCCCTTAGACCAGTGGTTTTCAAGCTGTAACCCAGGGTCCAGATGCAACCCTTTGCTTTCCTTTATCCAGCTCTTGGGACACCATTCCTCCCACTGATGCTGATGATGAGGCACAATTCCTCCCAATGTCACCAACACCGGGGCACTATTCCTCTAACTGATATCAGCAGTGGGGTGCTATTCCCATTAAAACTGGTGAAGGGATGTTGCTTGTTCCCAATGATGATGTGACATTTTCTACTCTAACCAGCCACAGTGTGGCTCCCCTAAAGCTTGAAGGACAGTAAACTGGCCCTATGCTTAGAAAGTTTGGAGACCCTTGCCTTAGACAATAGGTCACAGATTTTTGGAACAAGCAGCAAAAGTTGACAGACAAAAGTTTACAGGTTTCAAATAAGAGGAAGCATGCCTAATCAGGAGGGACGTGTTGAAGGTATCAAGGAGAACACCCAGGAGATGAACACCTGGGAACATGACCAACATAGTGGGTGACACTTCATGGTGTATGGCTTGTAGTATGGGAGTAAACTAAGCTCCAGCATTGGTGTTATTGGCAGCATTAGTAACCCCACCTTACGTGATCACATCCTCCCATGCCAAGTGTTCTCCCAGTCCAAAGAGGCTAGAGTTCAACAGTCAGGTGGAGGTCACTCTGAATAACAGATTTGGCTTCTTTCAGTGCCAGATGCTGGAATGGAGATTGTTTTCCAGCACTTGGCACACTGCTGCCATGCTACCTATCACAGATGGTCACACCAGGGCGCTCTCCAAGTGTTATTATCCAGGTATTCCGCTGCAGCTGGGAACATCATGGAAAATGTTTGTTCACTGGGGACAGGCACCTCCCCTCAAATTGGGGGCTCTCCCTTGGAAAATGGAATTGGATGGGAACCATACAGTAACCAGTTCCAGTGACTATTGTCTAAGGATAGGTTCACAGCTGCCCACAGTCTATGGGTTGGATGCCGGTATCGCACCTATTCCCTCACCTGCAGCCAAATCGCTCTGCTCTCATGAGATGTGCAGGGCTGCTATTCATTCTTATTGGTAGCCCCACGCATCTGAGGCATTTGTGGGTGTGTGAACGGCAGATAATTCACATGGTCAAAAAAGCCATGTGGTTTCCCTGCATGCACCTTTTTCCTTCGGGAAATGCGGGCCCTGCAGCCCTTTCAAATGAATGGGCTGCTGTGCCCGAGCAAATGCGGGCCGCACAGACCACAAAAGTGTGGACAGAGCCTTAGGCCCCATGTACACTTCTGAAGGATGGAAACTGATTGCTGGAAAACGTAGGTTAAAAAACATCTGTTTAGCTGCGTTTGCATAACGCGTTTATGCATGTTTATGCGCGTTTGCGTTTAGAAGCGTTTTTTAAAGATAAGCACAGGAGAACCTCCTAAATGCCCAGAATGCACTGAAAAGTGATAAATTATGAACTGTTTCAGACTATTTCAGAGAAATACAGAGAGTAGAAGCAGAGACAGCAGTAGGTGTTGACATTAGCTAGGTGTGAGTTGCTCATTAACATTTATTTGTTTCCAAGGGTGGGAAAGGTGTCTGGTGGAGGGAGTTACTAAGGTCACCTGGCAGGGGGTCTTCCTGAGGAATTTGAGGTGTGAATGGTCATTAACATATCTTTTTTTTCCAAGGGTGGGAGAGGTCTGAGGTGTGAATTGGTCATTACAATGTGTGACAAGCTTGGTAGGAACATCCTGTGTTCAGTGTTTTGTCCATCTGAGCACCTTAAAAACTCTTTGCATGCATTTTTCATGATGAAAAAAAGGCTCTGGACAGCATTGGGAACTGGAAGAGTTAAAAAAAAATTTCAAACGCAAACGCTTATAAACGCGATTTGCTGCGTTTAGACGCATTTACAAGCGTTTTGTGTTTGAAACACTGATAAAATCGACTCGTTCAAAAAAATACTGTAAACTCAACTGCCTGTAAACGACTGTAAACGGCGATGTGTACATGGACACATAGGAAAACATTAGGGAGAGTTCAGGAGCTGCTGAAAAAAATGCTGAACAGCTCCTGAACGTGAGTTTAGCAGCTGCAGTGTATATGAGCCCTTAGAGGGGGCTTTCCTTATTTTTGTAGAGATTTATAATCACTTCATGTTTTTGGATCAGGAAGTGGAGGGAAGTATCCCCTGACAGACAAAAAAAACCTGACAGAGGGTTTAACCCTTCCAGTGTAGACTCACTATGATAAGTTGTAGCTGTAACTATAAATATGCTTTTAGCGGGCGTGTACCCCATTTAGAGGAGCTTGGAGCTTGCGAAAAACTTACTGAAGCCTGGTAAAGGTTTGCATAAAGCTACCTTCGTCTGGACCATCACTCATGCTGTGGTTGTATGTCGACTCATAATCAGGGGCGGACTGACCATTTGGAAACTTGGGCACTGCCTGAGGGCCCGGGGTCAGTAGGGGGCCCCATGAGATGCCCCTGGTACCTTTTTCATAGGCTTTTTTGAGTGTGGGCAAGGACACAGGGGCCCCATGATCCCCTATTGCCCGGGGGCCCCATGAGTTGTCAGTCCGCCCCTGCTCATAATTAACTCTTTATATCAGATACTCAAATAAAACATGGAAACCTTGCAGTTCTTTTCCCAGAAGCTCTTTGGAAGAACCTGTGCCTGGAGATGGCTTTTAATCATACGTGGTGAGTCCATTTTGTCCAGTTTTTCAGTTCCTGGAGGAAAAAAAAAAAAAAGATTAGGAGGAATGCTGAAAAAAGAAAAAAATTGGAAAAAAGACCAGGGCTTTTTTCTAAGAAAATAGGTGCAGATACTCCCCCTTCCGAGTCACCCCTTGTCTTCACCTCCTACCCACCTCTGAGCACTGTTCATTGTAACAGTATATTTGAAATGTATTTTAAAAAATATTTTTCATATATTTTGTAATAAAAACGCATTGCAGTATATATATATACATATATTTACTGAAATATAGTGAATATGGACAAAATTGTAGCATTTCAAATAAATGGCAATATATTTGGGAAGAATATTTTTTAAAATATATTTCAAATATATTTTTCTTCCATATGGGAACCACCAAAAGAAAAAAAAATCAATAAAAATGACTTTTAGTAAAATTATTAGTAATAGTAATTACAGAGGCGGAGACTGTTGTAAAAAAGAAACATTCAAACTATTTTTCAGTTCCTTTCTTGATTTTGCTAGGGCTTCCCTTGTACGTTCTCTGATTGGACGAGGCGGAGATGGTGACATCATCCATCCCTACTTTCCACCTGGTTCAATCAGAAAAAGGCTTTGTATTCGGTGAAAAAAACAAAAAACAAGACGTTCCCTGAATGGTGGAGGTCCCGAGCAAGCGCCCCCTGTGTTCAGTATATGGATGGCAAGTCGCTTGAGCAACACCTGGGAGATACCAGCGGTTACTGTATAAAGCACAAGCAACTACAATGAATTTCAGCATCCCCAGCAGCCCTCCGGATGTGAGATATGAAGAATTAGATGCAACCAAAGTAGACGAATTTAAAAAAAAAGAAAAAATCAATGTTCAGCTTTAATGCTAAGGCAGCAAAAGATTTGACACAACTGCATGTTTTTACACTTTGATGTCTTAACCTGGTATGGACAGATACCTGAGGGAATTCCAGGTCCCGCGCTGTCCAGGAAAGATACTCGCTCATATATCGGTCTTTTTCTGACTCTTCTCCAAGTCTCCCCCATTCATGACGAGATCTACGACATAGCTCACCCATGTGGTCCCTGAAAATATTAGACATATCAAGAGGTCCATTTATAAAACATTTGTATGGTCATCCATTCATCAAATCGGCATGTACAGTCATTCTGTGCAAATTGAGCAAAAAAACGAATGTTTATTAGGCTTTTCTTTTCTGAATGAATGTTCTTTAATTCTGGGCAGTAGAAAAATACCACATTATGGCCAGTAGATGGAGCTGAAGAGCCTAGGAAATACATCCTTGTAACAAGAGATACAATCCAACAATTCTGTTGGTACATTTATTTGCTAATTCTCTCCAGCGACATAATATCCATTTAGATCTAGACCCATCCATTGGTCATAATATGGTATTTTACTACTGCCAATGATAAAAGGACGTTTGTTCAAAAATGAAAGTAGCCTAATGAAAATTTGCACTTGCCTAAAATGCACAGAAAGTAAAATACTATATTATGCCCAATAGATGGAGCTGAGGAATTTAAAAAATACATACGTCTTTGTAACAAGAGACAACAAGAGATACGCTGTGACAATATAATAAAAAATAAATATTATATTATTCACTCCACAGTGCTTGTGCCAATCCAAAATCATTCCTTACTAGACTTAAAAGTTGAAAAAAATGTTTAAACCTACGTATTACCATAAAATTATATTATTAAAGGAGGTTTAAAAAAAATGTGCATTTATTAATTTTGTCTGCAGGATCCTAGAAAGCATTGCACCAGTGATCAATAGATCGCTGATGCCATGCAGGTCTCCTGCAGATCTGTCAGAATATTGCTTGCCCTTATGGGATGTACGGGATGCAGGGGATGTATGGGATGCAGGGGATGTACGGGATGCAAGGGATGTAGGGGATGTACGGGACATAGCGGATATTTTGGATGTACGGGGTGTATGGAATGTATGGGATATACGAGATGTATGGGGTGTAGGGGATGTATGGGATGACGGGCTATAGGGGATGTACGAGGTGTAGGGGATGCACGGGATGTACGGGATGTAGGGGATATATGGGATGTTGGGGATGCAGGGGATGTATGGGATGTAGGGGATGTAGGGGATGTATAGGGTGTATGGGATGTAGGGGATGTATTGGATGTATGGGGTGTATGGGATGTAGGGGATGTATGGGATGTACAGGATATAGGGGATGTACGGGGTGTATGGGATGTAAAGGATGTACGGGGTTTATGGGATGTAGGGGATGTATTGGATGTATGGGGTGTATGGGATGTATGAGATGTACAGGATATAGGGGATGTATGGGATGTAGGGGATGTATGGGGTGTACAGGATGTAGGGGATGTACGGGATGTATGGGATGTATAGGATGTAGGGGATGTATAGGGTGTATGGGATGTAGGGGATGTATTGGATGTATGGGGTGTATGGGATATAGGGGATGTATGGGATGTACAGGATATAGGGGATGTACGGGGTGTATGGGATGTAGAAGATGTACGGGGTGTAAGGGATGTAGAGGATGTACGGGGTTTATGGGTTGTAGGGGATGTATTGGATGTATGGGGTGTATGGGATGTAGGGGATGTATGAGATGTACAGGATATAGGGGATGTATGGGATGTAGGGGATGTATGGGGTGTACAGGATGTAGGGGATGTACGGGATGTAGGGGATGTATAGGATGTAGGGGATGTATGGGATGTAGGGGATGTATGGGATGTAGGGGATGTATAGGGTGTATGGGATGTAGGGGATGTATGGGGTGTATGGGATGTATGGGATGTACAGGATATAGGGGATGTACGGGGTGTAGGGGATGTATAGAATGTAGGGGATGTATGGGATGTAGGGGATGTATGGGATGTAGGGGATGTATAGGGTGTATGGGATGTAGGGGATGTATTGGATGTATGGGGTGTATGGGATGTAGGGGATGTATGGGATGTACAGGATATAGGGGATGTACGGGGTGTATGGGATGTACGGGGTTTATATGGGATGTAGGGGATGTATTGGATGTATGGGGTGTATGGGATGTATGAGATGTACAGGATATAGGGGATGTATGGGATGTATGGGATGTATAGGATGTAGGGGATGTAGGGGATGTATGGGATGTAGGGGATGTATAGGGTGTATGGGATGTAGGGGATGTATTGGATGTATGGGGTGTATGGGATGTATGGGATGTACAGGATATAGGGGATGTACGGGGTGTACGGGATGTAGAGGATGTACGGGATGTAGGGGATGTATTGGATGTATGGGGTGTATGGGATGTAGGGGATGTATGAGATGTACAGGATATAGGGGATGTACAGGATCTAGGGGATGTATGGGGTGTACAGGATGTAGGGGATGTACAGGATGTATGGGCAAGCAGATATACTTGCAGGAAGATTTAGTGAACTACCACAGCACCATGGTAGTTCATTGAAAACTACAAGCCGACAGCCTCTGAGGCTTATTTACTAATATATGTGATATGGGATTAAGTTATTTTATGGCACAATTTTGGGTACAGATACGATGTAACAACTTGCTAAAGGGAGTCAGCAAATGAATGTAACCAATGCAGTTGCATCTCCTAAAAAGAGGTACCCTATGTATTTCCTATGCTCCCCAGCTCCACCTACTGGCCATAATGCAGTATTTTCCTACAGCCCATAGCAAAAGAACATTTGTTGAGAAGAAAAAATAACCTGAAAACATTAATTTTGTTGGCAGACATGTATAGAATGAATGAGCGTGCCGACTCACTGGATGAATGGCTGTGCATATAGATATGTGTATACATCAAGGGCGGACTGACAACTCATGGGGCCCCCGGGCGATAGGGCATCATGGGGCCCCTGTGTCCTTGCCAAACTCAAAAAAGCCTATGAAAAAGGTACCAGGGGCATCTCATGGGGCCCCCTACTGACCCCAGGCCCTCGGGCAGTGCCCGAGTTTCCAAGTGGTCAGTCCGCCCCTGGGTATACATTTACCCCAAGTCCGGTACAGCCGAAAAATAATGTCCCTTAAATAATGACATTTCCTTTCCTTTCACACTGTCCATCTACAGACACACATTGATTTCTGTCCTCACCGGACTTTGGATAGGTGGCTATCAGCAGATCGTCTTCTCTTGCCTGGAATTTCCCAAGGTTGTCCCAGTTGGCTGCAAAAGGACCGATGATGGGCATCCCGTCCACCCATTGGAGTGGATGGCGTTTAAGTATCTCCATGTTTTGTGGGGAAATGTTGGGCAAAGGCATTGCGTGCCGCGCTGCGTACTTGTCCAATGAGACGCCTGGAAAGTTTCTCTCTGATCTTCTCACAGCCTAGAAAGTTTAAGTTGGAATCATTTTTTTTAATGGAATGAAATATATGAGAACGATAGAAGCTTCATGCGCACAATTTTGTAAGTTTTCGTTACTTTTCTAAAAATGCTCATTTCCAGGTATAGTTTTTTGTTTGTGTAGATGGGGGCAGCCATGTTTGCTGACTGCAGTCTCTGCTTCTGGCATAGCGTGACCTCACTGAAGACAACAGATTCGGTAACTGAGCCCACCCCAGCGGCCATTAAAGTGACCCTGTTCCTAGGTTGGAGACCAGAACGAGCCTTCAGTCCATATTACCCATCTCCTACTACCAGGCGGTCTGAACCAGGGGCGGATGTACCGCCAGGAAAACTCCGATCCATTATGCTCAATCCACAGATCCGATCCATCCTGCGGGGATCATCAGCTTGCTTTACAACTTACCTTTCTGTGGAGCGGGTCCGGTGTCACCCTGTGCGGTAGGTGTCATCCGGTGTGGCGCGCACCCCCGCACATGCCTAGGGACGCCACTGCTTGGGGAGATGGGATCAGTGGCAGTGCTGGTTGGGGGATGGGATGAGTAGCAGTGCTTGGGGAAGATGGGATCAGTAGCAGTGCTTGGGGGGGATGGGATCAGTGGCAGTGCTTGGGGGGGATGGGATCAGTGGCAGTGCTTGGGGGGGAAGGGATGAGTGGCAGTGCTTGGGGGGGATGGGATCAGTGGCAGTGCTTGGGGGGGAAGGGATGAGTGGCAGTGCTTGGGGGGATGGGATGAGTGGCAGTGCTTGGGGAAGATGGGAACAGTGGCAGTGCTTGGGGGGGAAGGGATGAGTGGCAGTGCTTGGGGTAGATGGGATCATTGGCAGTGCTTGGGGGGGATGGGATCATTGGCAGTGCTTGGGGGGGATGGGATGAGTGGCAGTGCTTGGAGGAGATGGGATCATTGGCAGTGCTTGTGGGGGGGATGGGATGAGTGGCAGTGCGTGGGGAAGATGGGATCATTGGCAGTGCTTGGGGGAGATGTGATCAGTGGCAGTGCTGGTTGGGGGATGGGATGAGTGGAAGTGCTTGGGGGAGATGTGATCAGTGGCAGTGTTGGTTGGGGGATAGGATGAGCGGCAGTGCTTGGGGAAGATGGGATCAGTGGCAGTGCTTGGGGGGGATGGGATGAGTGGCAGTGCTTGGGGAAGATGGGATGAGTGGCAGTGCTTGGGGGAGATGAGATCAGTGGCAGTGTTGGTTGGGGGATGGGATGAGCGGCAGTGCTTGGGAAAGATGGGATCAGTGGCAGTTCTTGGGGGGGGGATGGGGGGGAGTGGCAGTGCTTGGGGGAGATGGGATCATTGGCAGTGTTTGGGGGGGATGGGATGAGTGGCAGTGCTTGGAGGAGATGGGATCATTGGCAGTGCTTGGGGGGGATGGGATGAGTGGCAGTGCTTGGGGGGGATGGGATGAGTGGCAGTGCTTGGAGGAGATGGGATCATTGGCAGTGCTTGGGGGGGATGGGATGAGTGGCAGTGCTTGGGGGGGATGGGATGAGTGGCAGTGCTTGCTGTTATGTTCCAGTTTGTGTCCACTCAGTTCCCCCTACCTTTATTGGAGGGGGGGAGAGGGGAATGAGAGAGGGGTGAGAAGGGGGGATTAGAGAAAGGGGGCGAGAGGGGGAGTAAGGGTTAAAAGGGGGAGAAAGAAGGAGAGGATAAGAGGGT